CCCCAAAACCCCAAAACCCCAAAACCCCAAAACCCCTTATTTTTTAGGTGAACTTGATAATTTTTTTAATTTTGGGTTAAATTTTGTACTAAAATGGGGAATCAAACTTCTGATAAGATGAAAGCGAGGGTGAGAGGGCAGCAGGATGTGGTAGAGGATGTGCGGAAGGTTAATGAGAATGTGTAAGTGGGGGATTGGGGGTTTCTGGCTTTTGTAGAGTGGAAATTTTTTAAGGATGAGTTGATTTTTGCACCCTTGTGATGGAGAGAAGCTGGGGATTTTGGGTTGAAGTAGGTGAAGGTAGTGGGTTAGGGTTGAATTTTAGGGGGGTTTGGTATGAAATTCGACATTTTTAGAGAATGTTCATCAAATTCTTGGTGAATTTCATAACTAATGCATCCTCAGAACGTTTCATTCTACTTTACATTAAATTTCTGGCCTGATCCTTCGAAGACAGCATTTTTTGTTAACTCACTTATGTATAACCTTTTCTGAATATAACTGCTTTAATGATGAATCTTTACTGATGACCACAGTTAATCTAACTAGGTATATCAAGCTATACAGTCTGCCATCATTCTCTTCTGTCTACCTTCACCTAAACTGAGGCTCGCCTTTAGGATCCGATTCCCTGGGTTTCTGAGCAAGCTCCAGCTTGGTTATACTTAGTCTCTACTTTTGATGTCCTAAATTTAAGCATGTTGATGCTAAATCTTAACTCAGATAATGATTTCCCTAAGAAGTAGTTTAGGGATGTAGAATCTGGTAATCAGGACATTTCTGATAGTGGTTGATATTTTATGAGTTCGGTCTGTGTAATTATGGACATAACTTTGGCACAAACACATAACTAGTTTTGAACTGAGGAGAGTTTTATTGAACAAAAGTAGACCTTTATGAAGACTTATTAGCGACTATTTCTGGTATAAATTTCTTTAAGCTTTTGGGTTAATTTATAATAAGTGTATCTTTTTAACTTGACTCCTTTAGTTTACCTTCATCCGGCTTGACCATCACAGCTACATGTAATCTTACCGATAAAGCGCAGATGTTCTTCTGGCGGTTAAAGAACAAGGTTACAATTAATCTAACCTTGGTAATCAAAGTCCTTCTTAACAATCATAGAATTTCGAAAAGCCTAAAGAAGAAGCCAAAGGGATTCCGGCTCTCAACCTTGGTTTAGACTCTGAAGACTTTACTATTGTTAAAAGCTTGAGCTTAGTTCAATTCTATGAGATAGCAGAGGAATTAATCATTGCTCTCAAGTATTTTAAGCTAAGGCAGAAAGAGAGTGAGATGATTCAACGTCTAACGGACCTAGGTAAGGCCCATTCCTAACTCTATAGAGGAATTTAACCAAGAGATTGACAAGCACTGAGTTATCTGACTAGAGAATCCAAATGATATCGTCCTAGCATGTACTCATGCTTACTGAGACAAATGAATTAAAGAATGGAGGATGTACCACCGATCATGTCCTTTGTGCCGCCATTCTATCTACCAAGGTAGCCCTGGTTCACCAGATGAGAGATTAGCTGACCATAACAAATATGAAATTATTAATATTGAAGAGGAGCTTGAAGCCGAGGCTCAGAATGATAAAATCATGCAAGAGAAATTGGCCAAATGAATTGATTACCTTCGCAATGAAATTTCATAAATTGTGCTATTTATTCAGTTTTTCATAATTAAAAAGGGGTTTTGGGGTTTTGGGGTTTTGGGG